TACTGTACAGTACCAGGGAGGATGAGTCTCTTGACAGTACAGTACAGTATGGACTTGAATGGCTCAAGTCATACTGTACAGTAGTCAGTACTGTCGACTCAGCATAGCACGCTACAGTACAGTAGCAACTTCAGTACTGTACAGTACAGTACGTGTATCCTTTGTACTGTAGTGTGCTGTACTGTACACTGTACACCGGCTAGATGGGCGTGGCACGCTCTGGTTGAAAGGCTGGACCTAAGTAGTCTATGCTAGAAACAGGGACTACTACATGATCTACTGTAAACATACCCGAGTAGGAGTATACAGTAAGTACCTACAGTAGAGTCATTAGCTGTGCCAATTTTGCAAACTTTTCTACCAACTGACACTAATTCAATTTGGCCCAAAGTCGACGTAAACAGATCTTTACAACCTTGAGCAACATTAGCAAAACATTTTGCAAACTTTTCTACCAACTGACACAAATTCAATTTGGCCCAAAGTCGACGTAAACAGATCTTTACAGTACAACCTTGAGCAACATTAGCAAAACATTTTGCAAACTTTTCTACCAACTGACACAAATTCAATTTGCCCCCAAATCGACGTAAACAGATCTTTACAACCTTGAGCAACATTAGCAAAACATTTTGCAGACTTTTCTACCAACTGACACTAATTCAATTTGCCCCCAAATCGACGTAAACAGATCTTTACAACCTTGAGCAACATTAGCAAAACATTTTGCAAACTTTTCTACCAACTGGCACAAATTCAATTTGGCCCAAAGTCGACGTAAACAGATCTTTACAGTACAACCTTGAGCAACATTAGCAAAACATTTTGCAAACTTTTTTACCAACTGATACTAATTCAATTTGGCCCAAAGTCGACGTAAACAGATCTTTATAACCTTCAGCAACATTTGCAAAACATTTTGCAAACTTTTCTACCAACTGACACTAATTTAAATTTGCCCCAAAGTCGACGTAAACAGATCTTTACAACCTTGAGCAACATTCGCTGTTGATGATTTTTTATTATTTTGATTGGACTCCCAATATTGAGCTACATGATCCTCTTTGACATTTCGAATACAAACATTAGCACTGGTGAATGTACGATCGGTTGCACAAGTCATGGATTGATATTGATCAGAGCTTTCCATAACAGCACACTACACCATTTGATAGGTAGTAGTTTCTGCACCTTCTACAAATGACGTTGCAATCGTGGTCTAATATCAAGTTGTTTGTAAATTAGTCAATAGAGAAAATTGCGGTTAAAAGTCCCTGTGGGAGAGAATACCATCGGCTTTGCGTGCTAGCGTACTTTGAACTTTGTACTAACATGGACAATAAGTGGACATGACCACTTGTAGTAGCCTAGGCGGCTATGTCGGAGTGGCATGGAGTAAAAATAGAGGCATAGCCAGTTCATCCAGTCATGCCACAGAGTGCGCTGCAACGGCAATCCTGCAATGCACGGTGTGGATTATGGACGATTCGATTGCATATCGACGACTTTTCTACTACCATAGTCCATGGTACACGCAATGGTACGATGTCGTCCGTTATTGCAATCAATCAAGAGAACAGTATTGTATGTTAAAATGCAGTAAATTCAATTAGAATATTGATTTAAATGAAAATTGAATATGATCGCATATCGACTTGTCTACTACCGTAGTCCATGGTGCGCGTAATGATACGATGTCGTCCGTTATTGCAATCAATCAAGAGAAAAGTATTGTATACTAAAATGCAATTAGAAGATTGAATTGAATAAAAATTGAATATGATCTTCAGTTTGCAACTAAACACTACTGTCCATCAGTAAAGGAGATTCACTTCAAGACAATGAAAAATGAGAGCTGTCTGGATTTTTTTCGACAGGTGCATTCACGAGCATGTACTGTAGTATGGGTGCAAAATGCATTAATGCATCCATTGACATACAGTTCTCGATATTGACGCTTGATAAAACACTGCAGACGTTAATGACGTTATAGACGTTTGCTACATTGTACTGTCTACAATTAATTGGCTGATAAAAGGTCTTTCCAGTGGAATTTATGCCTAACATGGAGCCAAAATGGAGCAAAAATAATACAATCAGGTTTGAATTCAAGTTCTACTTAATCTAATTTGGCAAGAATTTATATCCATTTAGATGACAGTTGTATTTTGGATAAGAGATTTTAGCCATAAATGATGAAGAAATGAATTATTCATGAATGAATGTTACTTCAGATATTTTTGTAGGACAGATGGCCAATAATAGACCGCCTCCCACAATTCATAATAATCAAAAATGCTAGAAAGTCCCACTGGTACTGTGTAATGATCGTCTGATCCATGCTGGCTGACGTTCATATAATTATTAGTTGATTTTTTCAATAGTCAATATCCTGAATCAATTTTATTTTAATTAGGCGCTATTTTTCTATTTATTTTACGTATTATGAGTGAATTCTATACGGTGAAAATTGTATAACTCATGTGGATCTATTCAATTTCGAGGAAATTGCATGGAGTAACTTCAATTAGAGTCTAAATGTATTGATATTGTGGTGGCAAAGTTGACTCATTAAAATGGATTTAGCGCATGCAAATAACTTGGATCATTGTTGATGTAGACAGCTGATTCCTCCATACAGTAGTATAGAGTATACATCATCAACAAGCATGGATCGTGTTAGCCCATTACATGATGAGAAATTATGTAAAGTGGAAAGATTGTGTATCAGCTTGATCGTTGGCCGTCCATTTTCAGCGTTCGGTATTGAACGCTCTTCTTCAACAACAGCTTTTAGCTGGTAAAAAACAACAACATGCAGTAGTCCATAGAAGTAAGAATCAACCTTACAAAGTAGGGGGATTATGCTTAACTTAATATGACTAGATACCCTAAATTACTCAATAAATGGCGTGATTTAGTGAGTAGTCGTTGGCTGTCCTTTAACGCCATTAAGATCGCTTGAGTAGAGTATTTGTCGACAGACTACGATCATCTTGAACAGCCCTAGTGTATTGTAGGATAATTTACAAGTGTTTGAGTACCGGCACTGCTGTGTAAGCTCAGTTTCTTTCTCAAGTTCTAAACAGCTACAAGACAAAGTCTGGATCCTTACAGTACAACATACTGTACTGTACGAACTGTACTGTAGTGTGAGAAAAGTGCAAATCTTGTTGGCCGCCATTAGTCCACCAAGTGAAAGTCGACAACTCGTCCACAGACTTGGCCAGAAATCGGTTGCAATTTCACTAGCTCAAAGCCAAACGCCAAGTATTCATGGGCTGTAGTTTCAAAGATTTCATCCAAGTTTTGCACAATGTCGAGTATGAAAGTCAGTATCCAATCCATCGGTTACAATCGATTGTACAACTATTTTTTAAGTAGCAATAAAATTAGATTATAAGGGTAGACGAATTGTTGTCCATGATGAGCAAAACTACATCATCATCATCATATACTGTAGTATGTGTGTAGCTTACGAGAGTAGCTTTGGCTATTTCAACTATCAAGAAATGCAATAGGACATGATGATAACTGCTTCAATAGGCCATCGTCTATACTGTACTTTGAAAGATAATATTCTACAAAATGACGATGATAATACTGTACACGTCATGATTGCAGTCTTCCATACAATCCAGTTAACACTACTACTACTGCTACTACGAATCAATCATCGTGTCCTTCGCAGTGACGACTGTAAAAAGGGCACCTTCACCAATAACTTACAATACGACTAGTAACTTGTAGATCATTTGTAACAAACAGGATAACAACTGTTACAAGTCATCATTTAGTAATTTGATCTATAAGCTCAAAGTACACTTTTATTTATTTATTTATTATATGGTCATTAGAGAGGATCACAAGAACTGACTGCCTCAGATGGTTCGGATGCTAATGGTAGCTTAGTACCTAACGTCAAAATTTTTCCTTCTAAAACTATCCTTATTCATTAACAAGTGTTTGCAACATAAGTCGAATTTTGCCATCATCATCATGATTTTATTACTACTTTATAATACATCCGTAGTGCAGGTATAAAAAAAAACAATAATAAGAATAATTTCCAATCATTTTATAGTCAGCAACCGTGCATTAGTGGAAACGAATGATCAGCTAGTCAATCAAATGACTGAAAATAGCCTGTGTAAAAGTAAACTTGAAAATATCATAGGTAATATTGCATAGATGCAAAGTGAACCTACATAAAGTTTCATCTTGTATTGCTAGCCAGTCAGGTCCATCTTGTATGGACACTATTTTACATTGATGTATTTTTATTTTATTCTTTGCTTTGACCTGATAATGATGGATGCCATCGCCTTGCAGATGATTCACTTAGTGATGCTAAGAAAGTAAGTTTTCAAAATGATATTATCATCCCTACTGGGCTATCCATGTCATCTTTTTTATTCAACTCGTTGTCTTTTGCACCTTTCAAGTGTAGTGCTGTATAGAATTAATGTTTCCATGAAATACAACAGTTCTAATGAGATATTACGTGCATTTTTTTCATGTCCTTATCCAAAAATAGGCCAGATTTGAAATACCTGTATCCCGCGTAATCCATATTAGAAATATTCCGACAGATTCTTCGGATGTGGAGGTCTGCCAATTCAAATTTTAATATTATATATTAAAAATAATAAAAGAATCGCCATTTCGTACTACTTTACTGCGGAGCAAGTTAGTTTGCATTTATCGTAACAATACCTCAAACGACACCTATAGCGAATGATTATATTCAAAACTCCACATAGACTGTCTACAGTGTACGATTCTTAGTAACGGTTAATAGTAGCTGGTAAATTAGCATGAGATAATTTACATTATTGTCCAAATCGATTATTTTTATTCGCTACAACTACTTGTTAATCTAAAGAATAGTAGTAGAAGAAATAGCTTCTATTATAATTATTAATATTACTATAGACTACTACAATTAATTAATATCGTGAATATTGTCTCGTATGTTCATACTCTTTTACAATAGCTGAAAAATGCACAGTAAATTTTCACAGTAAAGGTACAATACTTCAAATAGTTGCATCGCATGCTAATCTTCTATTCGCACCTTATTGGTGCTCTTTTATTTATCCATTAATCGTATAAACTTTCCGTTATTATTCTGTTGCAATGCACTAAATTTTTCAGACTATTATTGACTTTGACTATGACACTGATCGCTCTAATTCAATCCATCATGTTATAGTTGAAATAGCTAGTTCAATGCCAATAATTTACTTTCATTCCTGTAGCTAGAAATTCACATGGGATAAAATAGAAATGAACTCGAGTAACCATTGTAAAAACTGTATGAGAAGGATATAATAACAATTGATCTCTCGTATGTCACGTATAAACGATGATATTGAGGATTGAAATATCAATGATTAAATGCTATGATTTTTGTTTAGATTGCTGCATTAGGTGTACCATTTGGAAAAGTAACCAATATTTTGAGGCTAAATGCAAAGAATCAGGTATGTTGCTAGTGCTCTTATGGAAGAGGCATACGTGTTACATTGATTTTATTTATACTTGAGATAACTCAAGATAAAATTCCAAATGTTTGATATTGCCAATTTTAGTAAAGCTAAGCAGTTCATTTTGGAAGATCTATAATTGTTAACCACCGTTAAATTATATCCTATAGTGCTTTTTAGAATTAGAAGATGAAAATAAGACTAGGAAAATGATGAATTATTACAAATATGTTGCTCCTAACTTAAGGTTTAATATATGAAATGTAGCTAAGATTTAGAAAACATAAATCAGAACTGTGTAAAATTGTCAAATATAAGATAATTTTAGTTGAAATATTAGTCAATACGTGTTTGTGACCTATTATTGATTGAATGTGATCAGAGGCCATCCGGTATATATGCAATATTCCAATCATACACAATTAGTCACCGATTCAAGTAGATCCAAAAGTTCAACGGTAACTTTGTTCTACTATGTAGCCTTTAGGGTTGTCAAAATTTTTGGCTGCAATTATTTTATAAATTGCGTTGTACCTGTAGACGCCTTGAGCAACGGATCTTACATTATTTATTTATATACAATTTTGACAGGAAGCTGCTATAGCGGCTGCAGTTGCTGCTATATCTAGTTCGTCGCCACCTTTAAATCCTTTGGATAGTGAGGTTTCTCTGAAATCTAACGAATTAATGACAGTTGGATCCGCTTCTCCTGAAGCTGGCAGAGTATTACATATCAGCATAGACAATCTCGTTTATCCAGTAACCTTAGATATTCTGAACCAGGTTAAATTGAATTAGCTATAAAATAGACTGTATATATCGCATTTTTCTCTGTTATTTTGGACGTATTTTGACATCGAATGTGATTCAATTTCATAACTAGATCTTTAGCAAGTTCGGAGTCGTGGAGAAGATTATTACATTTACTAAAAACAGTAGGATCTATTTATGATAATTTACGTAATATTCTTGTAGTAATTTTTCAATTATAATCTTTCTTTTAAATTAGATTTATATCAAGCCCTCATACAGTTTACCGATGCTGTGGATGCACAGAATGCAAAACTGGTATAATTTATATGCGCATTATCGTATAATTTTAACTATTATATGAATACTTAAAAAATTTTTTTTTGGCGAATAATTTTGCCTTCCAGAGTCTCGACGGACAGAGTATTTATTATGGTTGTTGCACATTAAAAATTGATTATTCTAAGCTCTTAAGTATTAATGTTAAATACAACAATGATAAAAGCAGGTAACTCAATATCATCTTTACTTGTGTGATACGCAAACCTATTTCTAGTTTTGAAACTTTGTACTCTAACGGTAGCATACCAATTCGTGTACCTTAGAGATTTTACTAAGAACGTTACGACAAGAATAAATCCTACAGCTGGAGCAACTAGCATTGCAATTCCTGTTGGTAAGCAGCTTAATATTAATTGAAGTTGATAGATCTAAATTGATGAAATTTGTTCAATATGAGAATCTCCTTTGATAATTGAAATGCTCTCGTACAATACTAAGATAACATAGTTAAAATGTTTTGTTTTGTTTGTAGCTAGTGCAACTTCAAGTCTCTATGCAAGTTCTATATTAACTAGTACTGCTGCGGCATTACCCACATCATTGGCTTCCTATGGCTCAGGTTTTTCTTTCATTTATTGCTCTTATCACATTGAAATATTATCGATTGCTCTGCTTCTGTAATCTCATCGGATTTTTACAATCTACAGCAACAATATTGTCACCTCTTACGGCAATAGCCACTACAAGTCCGTTGCAATCAACTTCTGACCTCTTAACAGCTCCAATTCAGCAACAACTATCTGAAGGAAATTTGGGATATGATAATTCTAGCTATGTGGGTAGCGTCATTCATGTTACCAATCTAAATGAAGCGGTAAATGTGCTTTCACCATTTTTTGTTAATTAAATGATCTCATACACTATATGCTATTACTACAAATAGTTTTTACTGATGGTTTTAACGATGCACTCTTAATCATATTTAAGAGTCACATAAAATTATTTGGATCTTCTGTATCTGCAATTAATGTTGCTCATCATATAGCATTAATTCTTTCCTTCTGTTTCTACCAATGTCTTATTAACATGGCTATAGAAAGTAACTCCTCGAGCTTTATTTATTCTATTTGGTATGTATCGAGATTATTTTAGTTTGAGTTTTGGATTATACTATCACGATTTTCTAATACTTCTCTCAACATTGAACTATATTAAATAATTATAATACTTGAGGATATTTTTGAAATATTACTTGCTAAAGGTTGCACGCATATGCCATAACTGAGAATTGTGATATATGAGGCATACTCTATATACAAGTATTACCTGTACGGGTATAAGGTTTATGTAAGTAGACACTGACAAATAGCATTTGCTTTGTGGTTGTAGGTGTTTATGGTGACGTTTACCGTGTAAAAATTCTATTTAATAAGAAAGATACTGCCTTAATTCAAATGGCGGAGCCCCATCAAGCTCAAACTGGTAAGCGATGAACAATTTACTGTTTGCATGGATTTGATACCTTTCCTGAATCGACTGTGAACCAATTTATTCTTTGTATTACACAAGCCATTGCACATCTTCATGGAATTCAGCTATATGGTAAGAAAATGTTTGTTTCTTCTTCTAAGTATGCCCAAGTTCAATTACCGAAGGAACCAGACGTAAGTTTCTGCAGTGAAATAACTTTGTTGCGGGAATGAATTTTAATTAATTTTTGGCTTATTGCTATTATATGACAGTATGTTTATTTACTAAATATTAGTGGTTATGTATTTTAGCCTAGTGGGCTTACTCAAGATTATTCACAATCCGCATTACACCGCTTCAAGGTATTTTACATTATGTCATATGTAAATGATTGACTATTATAATACTATTAATTATTAGCCACCAGCATAAATCTTTACTAGGTGATATTTACGATTTATCTGGATCTGAGAAAATTATAGCCTGCCATAAATTAACGACAAAATATATCACTAAAAATTTCCCATTTTTTGGTTCATAATCGAATGTAGAAAGTTGGTTCACGTAATTTTCAAAACATTTATCCACCTTCTGCGACCTTACATCTATCTAATATACCGTACGAGAAGTATACTTGACTGATTAATTTAGCATACGGTGCTATGTTAACTTTCGTTTTCTGGAAATTCTGCATTTTATTAACATGGAGTTCAACCTTTATTAGTCCATCGGTTACTGAAGAAGATATAAAGGAATTATTTGAAGGAGATGGATGTACCATCGCACGCTTTAGATTCTTTCCGTAAGTTTTACGAATACTAGTTTCGATAGTTATAGCTCTTGAAATTTAATAATTTCTTATTTGCAGTTTATGTGCAATCGTTACTAACTTTTATAGTATTTTTTCAACTTTTCCATATAGAAGTAATAATAGTAGCAATAACAGAATGGCTTTATTGCAGATGAATTCCGTTGGCGAAGCTACTCATTCACTAATAGTAAGTTAGCGGGTACATTGTTAATCATGATTATATGTATATGGAATCTGTTTCGAAGAATCTTTTTTTAGTAACTATAATTAATGGTGAAAATATGTCCTTTATAGGAGAGACATAACTATCAGATTGGTTCAACGTATTTAAGAGTCTCTTTCTCCAAGACAAGTCTATAGTATGTTAGATAATCAATGCAATTTGTGTAGATTCACATATTGTAGTATTTTTGTATACAACGAGTATTACACTGTAGCTATGTTAAATTGCAATGTGAAGTTTGGCACGTTGTTACTATGGAAAGTAACAACGAAAATGGCACAGTGCATTGCACTAAGAAATGCTAGTATCACTATATTGGATTGCCATTAAATGGAAACATTGTTAACCGGTATAGTGAATATATTACAGATAACTTAATACTTCTATGCTATTTATTTTGTTATTATTAATTATGTGTTTCAAAGAATATTGCACAGTACAGTACAGTCTACATTCTACAATATAATGGTAATAACACTGGTCAAAACTTTAAGTACTGTATATGATATACAGTAAGTATAATGCACTATGTGAGATATGGAATGTGCTGTATGAGATTCTTCAATTTATTATATCATACAGGTGGTAGGGTACCGCAAATGTATAATCATTAATTAATACTCATTTAGGTTTGCATAAAAAATGCAATCTATAAGGATTTCAAAGTATTATGAAAGTAAAGTACAGCCTGGACGGGTACATAGATTGAATAATATAGCAATACAATAAATAGAATTCAGTAGTATTGAAACTAGAAATGGCTCAGAATTTATGGAGCAATGACTCACGCGGATGTACATAATTGCATGTCTGAGATATGAGATTTATACTTGAATTGGGAAATTAAAATCTTTGATCGCTATCAGTGCTGTGTCATGAATTGATCTTCATTGCCTCCCATACTATACATATGAGCATTTCATGCGATATTGTAAAGTAATATAGTTAAGCAAGTTCAATTCGTTTTATGAGAAGAGAGTTCAATCTAAAATCTTGATAAGAGGGGATAGAATGATGCTATTACAGTATCTAACCTATTAGCGATAGCTATTGTGACGACATGAAGTACTATAAAAATGAGGTCAATAGCTGAACAGTGAACAATCGTTGACTAACAAGCTTTTCTCACTTTTATATCATTTTTTATTTATTTCTACGTATGATCCACCAATGATATTCACGTAATCATGTAAAAATAGCCATTTAAAAGGTAAGACATAAAAAACGGTGTTGAGAAATTTCCAAGATCAAATAGCTAGTTTGCTCTATTCTGCTGTCAATTTTTGATAAATGCTGTTATTATTTTATGGTAAGCGAACCTCAGGAGGACCGATGAAAGCAACTACAGCTACAGATGTGGTTAAACGCGCTCTTACAAGCATATACCGAGATTACCTTACAATATATTCTTATGCTTTTGATAGCATATTTAAAATTGATATTGGCTGTAAATACAGTAACTTTAAGTTATCTTACAGCTTTTAAGATTGATCAAAGTTGTAAAGTTTTCTAAAAATATATGACTTGTAGTACTCTCGATAGGAATAAGAAAAATTTCTTATTGCATTCGCGATTTTAAGGAAACATCGAAGATTGATTCAGTAATGAACTTTGGGTCATTATGATCAATATTGATGAAGGCATCTGCCAGCAATAAATTGCCTAAAGAGATGAAATTTTAAAATAGTGAAAGGTCAATTGCTACGGTACTCATTCCATAATTAGCAAATTACGGATTGGATATAAGCATACGATAGTACCATCCTATTTTAACTTTTTATAAATATTCCGTTACGTATCGTATTACCCGGCTCGCAGGCGTATCTCTCAAAATCGGTTACACCAGCATCGGCTAAGACATCTTCATCGATAGTGCAATTACCAGTAAATTCTGCAGCTTTCTTTGTTACGATCGCATATGCAGCATCAGCCATAATATCAGGCTTGCGACAGTGCTTTGCTGCTTCGGAACCAGTCAACATTTTGACTGCAGCTGTAAAGATTGCTAAAATAAGGAAAGAAGGTGTTGCAAAGTATTATTAATGTCACAGCACTTTTCCCTTTGCGACTTACTACTAAGTCATTATCGTACTGTTTGCAGTGCTGTATCTATGCGCAATAAATGAATGTGCACATTATACTGTACTCGTATAGCGTTTACACTGCACAATACTGCACTACACTTTAAGGTGATTTTATTGAAATGGTTGTAACCTGTTTTAGGCCATAAAGCATTGACTGCAATTTGACCTTTAAATTCAGCTGCCATCCCTATAGCACACATAGACATGCCATACTTGGATATGGTATAAGCTACAAAAGGAATGAATTGATTTCTTGCTTAGTATAACGTATCCATCCTTCGACTAAGATTTGAATTCTTCTTCAGTATGAAAAGGCAGCTAGTTATTGTAACTATAAGTAATCTAACGAGAAATTGATGCAATAGTCATGAATATTATGAAGCGATTAATTTAAAAATAATCACCACAATGATTCTTGAACCATTTGGGATCCATGTCTAGAGGTGGACTAAGATTTAATATATGTGGATTTTTGCTTTGCTTCAAATAAGGAATACAGGCTTGTGATCTACGCATATACGTGTAATACAATAATATATTATATGTATATACACTGTCTTGATATTAATACGAGTCCATCGTTTATATATATATCATTTATCCAGAAGGTGATTGAATTATTAGCTACTGACAGCCTACTGTATCAACTTTAGGGCAATTATAAATAAATTTTAATAATATGTTACATAACATTGACAAATGCATCGTTTGCTGTTAGCTTCTTAACGAAAGAGATCTTACGTGATAAATGTGCCACGAGCATTAACGTTGTTCATCAGGTCATACCTATATAGTAGTATTTTCAATGTCGAAGGAAGTTTTAAAATAATCTAATGGTTCAGAATAGGAATCGCTAATGACATAATCTAAAGTAGAAAGGGGACTGTAATTTTCAATTGAAGAATGTTGCTGCAATCGATTGAATTCCTTTCTACCTGTTCGAGGGTGTAGACTCCGTACCCGTAAGCGATATAGCACTAGCATTGTTAATAACAACATCGATGCCACCAAATTTACGGACAGCTGCTTCGACAGCTGAGGAAACAGATTGTGCATCTCTGACATCAACTTCACACGGTAATGCTTTTCCGCCACATTTTTCAACTATAACATGTAAGAAGTGTATGAGTGTGCTATAAAAATGGATAATAACATGTTGCATCCGCTTGCTATTCTACAATACTGTCTTGATTGGAAATTAGGAATAGGTAACTCGTTGGATATCATCAACACAAGACTGCCAATAGAATATCATTCCTCTTACTTTCTTCAGCTGCATCATAAATTGTTCCAGGTAATTTAGGATGTGGCTTTGCCGTCTTAGCGAAAATGACAACATTTCCGCCATCGCGAGCAAATTTTAAAGCAATCGCCTTGCCGATTCCACGACTGGCTCCGGTAATAACGGCGGTACGATTAGCAAGTTTCCTGGATTTATTGTAAGATGGAAACAGTTCATTTTAACGTTTGCAAGGGTACAGTAAGGATTGAAAAGGAATCGACATCAACATACTCTCCTACCCTGTATTAATCATGTTGTCCCTTGGAAACTGTAGGTTGGCAGTAAAGCTGGGCAAGGTTGGAAATAGCAATCAAGTAAATTGGCAAGGACAACACCAATTATGCAAATACTGCACTTTATATAGTAGTTGCTTTAGCATTTTACTGTACTTTGTGTCCTGATACTGTACCAGTAGTAGCCCATAGTGTACCGTGTGTAGCCCACTAGCGTTTAGTACATTACTACAGAAAGGAAGTTAAACCAGGATGATATGATTTAATACAGTAGTTCTCTCTAGTGATTTTCTCACGCAATATAAAACGCCATGAGCTGGTTGCGAAGACTCTTTAGTAAATCTCGGCAATTGGTCGGTACCGATTTATCTGGAAATCAATATTTCGAAATTACTGCGGGTAAAGTTATGTTGGATATGAAATAATTGATGCTAATACTGCAGTATGCCCTACAGATCGTCAAAGTGTTTAATAACGTTAGCTCAGCTAGGCACTTTTAATACGCGTATGCCTTATAATTTAACCAATTTATCCAGCAACTTCAAGTTGTGAGCAGTTAATCACTGCTTAATATGTGGACGTATATAGACTCTATGCAGGTGATGTAAGATGCCTTTGTTATTTTCATAGCTAATACCACTCAATAATGGTGGTTTAGCGTACATTTAGTCTTACTGACATCGGATAAACTAGGTTAGAGATTGTGGCCATTGTATAGGATTCCACTCGTTTGCAGAGGGAATAGGATAGCTAAGAGTTGCAAGCTGAATTGTTGATACTATCTGTTAATTTAAGTCTCCTTAAGATTACACGATATGCGTATAATCTAGATTCGGGGAAAAGGATAGCTAAGAGTTGCAAGTTGAATTGTTGATACTATCTGTTAATTTAAGTCTCCTTAAGATTACACGATATGCGTATAATCTAGATTCGGGGAAAAGGATAGCTAAGAGTTGCAAGCTGAATTTTTGATACTATCTGTTAATTTAAGTCTTCTCAAGATTACACGATATGCGTATAATCTAAATTCGGAGGATGATTATTTGTAGGACTTTGCAGATATATACCTACAATATGCAAGATGTAGTCAGAGTACTGCTGAAGCGATAGAAAATTTCAATTCCTAATGTAATTAGTGAGATTGGTCATTACTGACTATGCATAAATTGGATATGGTTCTAGTTTAGAAATATACGACTTTACATTGGTAAGATATTAACTTGCGTAAATAATGATACGACATCATACTATGGCATGAAATCATTTGCGGTAATTTCTTTTTGTAGCTTATCCAAGAGTCAATCATCACGTCCATATGCACATTAACTAGAGATTAGGATTTGTTGATTGATTGACTGGACAAAAAATCATAATGCTACAGCATTGTAGCAGCTCGATATTTTACCTTATAGAGCAAAAAAACGATTAGTGCTTAGAATTGACTTGTACATGTGCAATACGTACTAGTATGCTACATTGAATAAGGTGTGCATTGCTGTATACAAGATTATCTCTTACTACATTTCTATTTGCTATTATGAAAGGAACGGATAAACGAATCAAGAGAATTGTAGAAACCGGAGGCAAAGAATGCGATTATGTACCAGGCTCTATTCCTGTTGAATGGGAAGGTATTAATTAAGACTATCAGGAAAGTGTGCAACAGCAGATTCTAGTCGATACTGTTTGCTTCATTTTCTATAGGTGTAAGATCAGCAATTCATCTACAATTATAATTGAGGTGTTATCCCAGCCACTCTTACTATTAAAACTTAATTGATGGAGGCATTTTAGCTGGCATAGAATCATTCTTAGGCTTTAACCCCGCGCTATTACTGTGCTACAGGCTGCTCATAAAAGCCACTAAAATTTGATGTCATGCCAATGCTTCTTAATTTGGATGCTAATGTACGTTTTTGGTCATTAATTCTTTGCAGCATGGCTTCGAGGTAAACGTGTTGAACCTCCCACTGTCGAAGTAAGAAGATAATATAGATGAGTGTATTTTAAACATTAGACGTGTATGTAGTATAAAGGAATCATATAGATAACATGTAATAATCACTATCTCCTTACCAAGATATCATGTTAATGGACATTGAAAGTTTTATGATTAACACAGTATCATATTGATTTTAGGAGCTCATCGAGCGTGAACAGCGGGCACAATTGCTTGCAAAGAGAGTAATAGCGTTAGAAGAAAAGGAAGCACAGGTATGTTTTTATATTTTCAACGGTTCTACAGTATGTTAGCGAAAGATATAAATTTAGTGGATCAACAAACTCCTTCTTTACTGTACTGCGTATACGAAATAGTTAATAATGTAAATATACTGTACGTCTACAAAATAGTTGAGGGACAGCAAAACAAACTGTGATTTTTATTCATATTGACGTTTATGATTTACTGCAATTTTTGAACATGGTTTTGATCTTTGACTGTTTTTAAATCAGATGCTGCAAAAGCCTGAAGGTATGTTTAGGTTTTGCTATTACTTGTACACGTGTAAGCCTATAATGCTGTTATAATAAAAATACTGCTCTTCTAGTATCTATAATGGATCAGATCCGATGTAAAATATAGCCCTTTTTTCTCAATGTTATGTAACTGCAGTCTAATAAACTATCAATGTTGCTGACGTCAAGTATATTTACAAATACTCTTTGTTATTTGATTGCAGAAGAACTGCCTACTTCTTCTAGAGCAAGATATGGTATGTCCATTCTCCTCGTATAATGCACAAACTAGATCGTCTTAGGATAAACAAAATTATACTGTACTTGTCGTATACTCCCGTTATTTAACAGTAAAATTGCATATTACTCACAGGCTTCATTCAATAGTAGTTATAATTGCAAATCTTGCATTTGTTGCTTTAGTACTTACAAACTGTTATTTTATATTGGTTGTTTAAGTTGGTCATGCTTCTGCACCTATGTATGATAAAGCAGACTCTGAGGATCAAGCAAGCACAGGCAAAGATTTTCAACCAGCTAGTTGGAAACCAAAATAAGGCAGTCAATAAGCTTTTGCTGTTGCTTATTACCGCATACAGAAAATTGTAAATTGATTAATTTGTACAAATTCTGAGTTGAACTATCTATCTACCATAATAACATGATATCGTATGTGTTTATTTTGGACGCATTTTCCACGCTATGCTAAGTGTAGGATTTGAATTCTTGAGTGATAGTAATTTTAGGAGGATATTTGAAAGAGATTGAATGAATATTACAAATTGTGTGTACTATAAAATTCATTTGTTTTACGCGTTTAAAAGAATTGAAGGGAATTGTATTAATTAATTTAGCAATAATTGTAGTGGATATATACTACAGTATACATAGGCCATCTCTCGTCATGGATTACTAGACGATCTTGTGGTCACCTTGGTAATGGCCCGTATGGTATCGTCTTTGCTTATGCAGTAATGTGCTTCTATTTGTATTTATAACCTTGCACCTGTATCTTTTGGTTTATAACGTTGAATTATTGACAATAAAATCGGAGAAATATTATTGTTGGTATGCGTATTTAACGAAGCTACGAGCAATTCAGGCAAACTGGATAATAACAGTACAGTATATAGTGTACACAGTGGGCCTGATGCATATAGTGAATAATATAAGCCATTCTAGCTAAGTGGACATGATTATTAACAGGTATTGGATAGATCGACTACATACAGCAGTATGGGTGGTGTAGTAGATAGCCTATAGGAATCGCTTGATCTAAGAATAAGCTTTTGAGAACTTTGAATAAAGATTAGCTTAGTCCGCCTAGCATATCATACTGTGCGAATGACATTTCTTTTTAATTAGTTGACAACTCCATTATGTGAATTTAGGATACTGTCTATATTGAGATCATCTTCAATATACTGTACTTGGTTATGCAAATGGACAGTACAGTATATTGGTTTGCTTGTATGGATATCTTGTATTTTTATTTGCTCACAGTATGTAGTATACGTGCAAAAGATTCATCTGGACATTGAACACGTTATCATATTTCCTACAAGCTCTTATTCAATAATGATACAGTATAATAAAGGGATAGTGGTTTTGTTTCTAGCTTAATCGGCATACCATGCTGTTGGAATGATATTGCTTGGGGTTAGTTGGGGATTTTTATGGATTGAAAATCATTTCAATTTGGGGTATTACTTCCATGGATAATTAAAATGATCATCGATCTATTTTCAAGGCTGCGCTGAACTTGAAACACTTTAAGGCAACCGTTATGTTCCCTATCACGACACTAGGTCAATCACGCAATACTTGGTTAGACATTGCAAACTAGCCTTAAGCGTGGAGTCCACTTCTTTATTCCGGGTTGCCTTTCCCACAAGTGATATATATATATACATATATATTACATACGTATTAGTAAATTATTAGTGAACGTGTCAATACAGTTACGATATTAGTATTATACGGTTATCTTCTCAGTTAGGCAGCTATGCAATTTATCTGCCCTAATTCCTAGACATTACCAGTCCATCATCCATAACAGCATCTATAAAGGTTTATTCAAACTAAATCCTATCCAATAATAGGGTCAATCAGCACAATAAAGAGATAGTCGTTTGGTTTCGCTTTCAAGGAGAATTGTAAGAAATTGAAACCGGAATCGAAATAAATTAACCTGATGAACCGAAGAGGTAAATCCCCCAGTGAAACGAACTCTTGACACATCTGGATTGAAGAATTGTCATTCTTGATCAGATCTGATGCAGTCATGACAGCTTATTTTCATAATGCAAACACACTAGTCCAGACTGAAGAGAGAACAACAGTGTTGACTAGAAAGGGCTATGTCCATGTAATATGCTGTGCATGTAGATAGCACAGGCTGGCTGACAGTTGTTTCAAAAAGTAAACACTGCCTTTCACAATGCTGTATACAGCGTATAGCTACTAGGTCGATCTGCTCTTCTACTTATGGGCATTTGCAGTGGCGTCGGTCATCAATAACCTTAGTGATGCAGCTGGAGTGAGAGAAAGGGGAAATTTTCTACTCCAGCAATTCTTGGCACAATGGCTTATTTGTTTACTTTCAGAGATGATTTTTGAAGCGACTAAAACAGTACGCCTGCTGTATGGTGCTCATCTCTCTTGGAACTGCATGGCATATCGTTGTTATTAGGATAGAGAAGGGGATTGAATGGAGTGATGTTTTGTACAGCATCGCTGTAGCAACAGTTGGATGCTTTCGCTACGTCAGAATGGTGTTCTCGATTGGGTTGAGAAGGCAAATCAAGCATTGGATACAATACGGTGTACACTACTCTACCCTCCATAGACGATGCAGTCGTGGATGTACCTGAAAGTTATCATGGCAAGGTAGAAAAGAAGGTGTTTTCATCCATAGTACCTTTGTAAATGATCTCGCCTGCCATTTTTTTGGACTTTTACGGCTAGATCATCGTACTGGACTCTCCATTTGGAAGGCATTTTGGTTGTTTGGCACGTTGGTAGAGTAGCGTCCACTTGATCAAGTTGCAGGAAAGGATACGGACAGACCGTCGGCAGTCCAGTCCATATCCTTGCAAAATACTGTACTGTAAACCACCCAAAAAGACTGTACAGTAAAGGCATTACACTCGGCCCTGGTAGACTGTAGTAAATGCAGTGGTAAAGCACCCTCTCGACCCTGGCAGACAGTGTCAGTGTACCCTCTCGACCCTGGCAGACAGTGTCAGTGTACCCTCTCGACCCTGGCAGACAGTGTCAGTGTACTGTAGTAGTAAAGGGTTGAAAGCACCCTCTCGGCCCTGGCACACTGTGTCAGTGTACTGTAGTGGTAAAGCACCCACTCGACCCTGGCAGACTGTAGTCAGTGTACTGTAGTGGTAAAGCACCCACTCGGCCGTGGTAGACTGTAGTAAATGCAGTAGTAAAGCACCCTCTCGACCCTGGCAGACAGTGTCAGTGTATTGTAGTAGTAAAGGGTTGAAAGCACCGACTCGGCCCTGGCAGACAGTGTCAGTGTACTGTAGTGGTAAGTGGTAAAGCACCCTCTCGACCCTGGCAGTCTGTAGTCAGTGTACTGTAGTGGTAAAGCACCCACTCGGCCCTGGTAGACTGTAGTAAATGCAGTGGTAAAGCACCCTCTCGACCCTGGCAGACAGTGTCAGTGTACACTGTACAGTACTGTAGTGGTAAAGCGTCCACTCGGCCCTGGTAGACTGCGTCAGTGTACTGGTGTGGTAAAGCACCCTCTCGACCCTGGCAGACAGTGTCAGTGTGCTGTAGTACTGTACTGTAGTAAAGGGTTGAAAGCACCCTCTCGGCCCTGGCAGACTGTGTCAGTGTACTGTAGTGGTAAAGCACCCACTCGACCCTGGTAGACTGTAGTCAGTGTACTGTAGTGGTAAAGCACCCACTCGGCCCTGGTAGACTGTAGTAAATGCAGTTTGAAAGCACCCTCTCGACCCTGGCAGACAGTGTCAGTGTACTATAGTAGTAAAGGGTTGAAAGCACCCTCTCGGCCCTGGCAGACTGTGTCAGTGTACTGTAGTGGTAAAGCACCCACTCGACCCTGGTAGACTGTAGTCAGTGTACTGCAGTGGTAAAGCACCCACTCGGCCCTGGTAGACTGTAGTAAATGCAGTACAGTACTGTAAAGCACCCTCTCGACCCTGGCAGACAGTGTCAGTGTACTGTAGTACTGTAGTAAAGGGTTGAAAGCACCCTCTCGGCCCTGGCAGACTGTGTCAGTGTACTGCAGTGCCGTAAAGCACCCACTCGACCCTGGCAGACTGTGTCAGTGTACTGCAGTGGTAAAGCACCCACTCGACCCTGGCAGTAGTAAAGCACCCTCTCGACCCTGGCAGACAGTGTCAGTGTATTGTAGTAGTAAAGGGTTGAAAGCACCCTCGCGACCGTGGCAGACCGTAGTCAGTGCAGTAGTAAAGGGTTAAAAACACCCTGTGGGCCGTGGCAGACCTCCACTCGAAGACCAGTGTAGGAGAAGTCAGTCCCTCGTCGGCAAGCCCCTCTATAGAACGCTAGATCGACTTTAGCTCAAGTGCCTCCATTTGCAACCTCTGTGGCTAGACGATTTGCAGGCAGCCATGATGGCAATTTGTTTGTAATCCATCTCCATGCTGATTGCAATCCAACCACTGGGATCGTCATTTTTGCTTAGTATCGCCTGCATTTTGCCACGTCAAATGATGCAATTGTAAAAGATGGCTGGTCGTTATGCCAAATTTAAAGCGTCCTTTCCCTTTACTCCTGATCCAGATTATGAAGGAGAAATTGAAATTGGCGATGGCGATGTTATTTTTGTGGATGCCTACGAATGGGGTAACGATTTTGATGCATGGCTGGATGTAGCTTCTACAGATTGGATGACAGGTACCAATCTTCGTACTGGCTTAAAAGGCATGTTCCCTGGTAATTATGTCCAATTTGTCCAATTAATGGATTCTCCATTGCCATCCAACGTCGCCAACACTATGCCGTCGCTACAACATGTTCATCAGACTATATCCGAAGACTTGGAAGGTAATTTTCCAACATGGATTATGTTGCGTTTCTTGTCTAAACTACACCAGTATCACACTCTTTTTTACTTGTACAAGCGATTTCACTTGCATAACGTCTCCTTGTAGTCAAGCTTTACTGGTACAAAGAAAGTCAAAAGAATAGAGGAAGAACAAGCATCAAAACCCATCCGTAAAAATACAAACATGGTAGGATGGCCGATCAGGCTAGTCTTCCATGCTTACAAAGTCTTGAATCGACTCTTAGCGATAGGAGATATCAATGCAATGGATGCTACTGTAATGATAATCCCCCCCCCCTCCACCCAAAAAATGGCCTTGCTTTCATTGCCATCATCAAGCAGCGACTCGTTGTAGTTGCATTGATCAAGCAATTGGAAATACAGTAGTTATAGTTTGGAAAAAAGAAAATTTTCCATCGATAGTGTAAAAGCAATGTCCGTACACAATCCGCTCGCACGCTAATAGAACGTTTTCAGACTAGCGCATCATTTTCAAATTCATGACCATCGCTTTCCATATAGGCCATGGGCTAAATTGGTGTATCAAATGGCCGCCATCGCCTAATGCTATACCAATACATGGTGGGTTTGCCTTCAGCTGTATCCACTTTTGTCCTCTTCATCGTTGCCAATTTGTAAATTCATTTGTTCAATCGATCCAGATTTCTTCCACATGCAGTATCGATGTAACTGCTATTGCACTTACACATAAAATGATGATTACAATCATCGTCCTATTTTTGCGCTACCTAGGCCGTGTTGGAAAGTCGTAGTCCAATCAGTTTTTGAATTTCAAATAGCCTAATTTGAGTCTATTCTTTTCTTATTGATACATGTTGGGTCATGATTTGTGATGGAAATGAAATGCTTCATGTGTATCCTAGACGAAAATAGCTTCTCTAGGAACACAAGGACTGTCATGGCTTGTCGGGAGTTATTCTTTCGAATAACTCCCTTCCTATCTTACACGTCGGATAATAATGAATGTGTCCATCATGGTCGATATGGAAGACAACAACGTCAAGACGCCTTAAAATGATTCTAGAAGCATCCTTCCTCAATAAAGTAGTCGTTAGAATAGGTCTTTTTCCACCATGCAAAACACTAACTTTTACCCCCCCCCCCCACAAAAAAAATCAAAATAGATTGGACTGTCTTGTAAAATGTCTTGTCTACCTCTCCTCCACAATCCATTGATTGATGTTTTAATCACAGATTAGACAGCCTAAGAACTTGCGTTGAAAAAGAAATCCTCTATTGATTGACTATTTTCATCTGTCAATTGGTAGCAAAATAGTAAAACTGATTACTAAATAACCGGTTTCTATGTCATTATAACCATAATTACATTATCATTAAAATATCCACGCCTAAAATAACCATTTCTTTTGAATTTCATTCCAATCCCATCCCTTCTTGCTGTTCTTGCGTCTACTTAGAATCCAAAATGTATTAATCGTCATTGACCGCTTTTTTTAAATTATGTTTTTTTTTTTTTTCAACGGTGGCCATCGTCGATGTGGAATTGGTTATGTTGTTGTCCAACTCCAACTAGATGAAAATAAAGATCATCGTTTTAAACGAACTTATTTCGATGCTCCAGTTTGGTGTCAATTCAGTAAGTTTATCATTGCTTTTTGTTGAATTTTTTTTCTTTTTTTTTGGGGGGGGGGCTACTTGCACTAATGTACAGAATGAAAGCAGTATTCCTTTCTATATATTATGCAACTTGGCCATGTTGAACGGATTAGAATGGATAGTACAAATGATGGGTACGATTTTGAATGTGTTGAAATAGTATTGGCAAAGGTTCCATTCCAATGACGCTTGAATGGATGATTTGTATTTTGCAAAGTTGGAGCAAGTCCATCGATTGTAGGGCAAGATCAGCCATGACTTTGTCGCTATCTGCTGTCATGTCTACCATGTTGGAAAATGATGTACATCCCTCCCTTCATCAGCAATCGATTAAGTACAGTATTGTATGCAGGATATGCGGAAAAAATCACGCTAGTATTAAGTATACTGTCATTCCCACTGGGTTGTAGACGATGGGAAAATGGAGACAAGTTACAAATGAAAATGGTAGCGCGTTTGTTTCAATGCTGTATCGCAAGCCGCAAATGGCCAATCCTACTGACTAAGTTGCCTTTGAATTAAAGTTGTGAAAAGTCCAAAATATACAGAATAGAATTCCAACTGGGTTGTAGACGTCATGTATAAATCGTAAGGTGTTTGTTTCCATCTTGTATCGCAAGCCGCAAATGGCCAATCCTACTGACTAAGTTACCTTTGAATCAAGTTCGAAAAAATCACGCTAGTATTGACATTAATTCCAACTGGGTCGTCGACGATGGGAACATGGAGAAAAAGTGGAAATCGCAGGCTGTTGATTTCCATCTTGTATCGCAAGCCCAAAATAGATAATCCTACTGACTAAGTTACCTTTGAATCAAGTTAGAAAAAAATCACGCTAGTCTAGAGAATAATTCCAACTTGCTAGTAGACGATGGGAAAAGGTGTAAATCACAGGCTGTTTGTTTCCATATTGTATCGCAAGCCCAAAATAGACAATCCTACTGACTAAGTTACTTTTGAATTAAGTTGATGAAAAGTCCAATTGGACAATGCCTTGGAGTACAATCTTTAAAGTGATATTCCATATTCAAAATTGAATTGCAATACCCTCCTCCATCTTGTGTAGCCACCATTTGTAATGGCTATGATACCATTGACAACATCAAGCGTTGGTTGTCCTCCATCATTAAATCGTGAATAGGGTTGAAAGGATTCTTTCCAATATTGCTTAATGCTAAGAAAATACTTTGCTAAACGTGCATTTCTTTGAACTTTCTATCCAAATGCTATTGTTTTTATGCTATGGATTGGATAGTGCTATTATAACTCGGGTTCTATTTGCCAAGAAAGTAATCCTAATGGTATACAATGCAAATTGTTTTCCTTTTCTATTTGTATCATTGGATGATATTGCAGAGATGGATATCGCTGTTGATGGACTATTTGCGGGTAGTCAATATGGAGTAAATTATTTTTCTTCCTCCATGATGGATGGATGGGCAACAGGAAAGTACAGTACTTGCCCATGTCGACTGTCTGACAAATCATTCAATTCCAATATGCCGTCACAGAGTTGACAACGATTGCTGTAGTCTATGGAGAAATTCTTATTAGGTTTTCATGGAGAAGGATACATCCTAAACTACGACAGGACATGCATGGTCAAGAAATGCTGTAGAATGCATCATTTTACTTATCATTTTGCAATGACAACTAAAATTTCTTCCAATAGCAAACACGGTCCAATCCTAGACTACTGGAAATTTCCACTCGTCTTTTCTGACACTTAATTGAATCACTCCATGCAAGTTACTGTCAAAGAAACAAGAGTCCCTTTTTTTTTTCTTCTTTATGATTTTGTAATGACAAGTGTTGAAGGTGGTCTTTTCTGAATTGGTTTGCATGCAAGTTGCTGTGAAAGCAATAACAGTCTTTATTAGAATTTTGCAATGACCAGTGTTCAAGATAGTGTAATAGTCTTTTCCTTAGCTTGAATAACTCCCATGTAAGGTGCTGTGAAAGACTCTTCCCTTTGAATAATTTTGCAATCAACGAGTTACGGAACTTTGTAGCGAGTGTCGAGAATGGTCTTAAATCACATCTTGCTGTAATAATGTTGCCATGGAAAACACTTATGTTACTTCCTGAAAAGTGTGTAGGATAGCCATATATATAGCCATCATTCTTTTACTTCAATTTCTCTCCATTGGTAATGGGGGGGGGGGGGGAAAAAGCAAGCCTATCACTTGCCTACTTGATTCATGAAAGGAAGGATCGATCGAGAATAGTCTTTTAACTTTGTCTTATTTTATAATTTTGCAATAGAAAACTTGCATTATTTCAATCAAAAGTAGGGCAGATAGAGTCTACAGTATAGACGCTTTAGTTTTTGGGGTCAAAAAGTGCCAAAGGTAGTTTTTATTCTGATTTGAATTTTGGTTCATTGGCAATGGGAAAAAAAAAGCCCAATATTACTATGTTAAGGGAGATCTTGCATGACCTATTTGTGAATCATTTTGCATTCTTTGCAATGAACTAGTTTTCTTACTGTATTGCATATTGGTAATTACAGCAAGGGTCGAGAATAGGTTGCAATCGCCTTGAATGACTACGTTAAGATGTTGTACAGCTTATTTGCAATAAAGCAATTTTGCTAGTGTACTGGATGCCAGTGATGATAGCAAGGGTCAAGAATCACCTTCAATCTCGTCCATTTCTATTTGTAGAATTGTGCGACAGCATTACTTCATTAACTAGTATTCAAGGTGGTGTGTTAATCTCTTGTTACTTGAATAATATGTACAGTAGACTGTAAATACTATTTGCAATTAGAAAGCCACTTTGTTAAGAATAGCAATTTGTTCATTTTTTTTTCAATCAAATGGTTGTATCATAGAATTGGCCAGAATAGTTTACCCTTCCATTTAATTTAGCCTTAGGGTGTTGTCATTTTGTAGTGAAAAAGCCAACTTGACTCAATCCAAAGTCTGGGTCATGTATCTTGTCTTGCTCTATTTTTTTTATTTTATTTTCTATCATTTTGGCAATGGAAAGAGTATCCTACGAGTTGACTTGATTCTTATGCTATACAGTAATGTACATGATGTATTTTACTCTTCAATCTACGGAAGAACTTGATTGAAGAATAGTAAACGTTTTTATCTTGTAGAAGAGAATTCTTCTTTTTAATTTTGTGGACTTGATTCTTATGCTATACAGCAATGTACATGATGTATTTTACTCTTCAATCTACGGAAGGACTCCATTGAAGAATAGTAAACGTTTTTATCCTGCTGTACAGCAATGCACAGCATGTGTTTTACCCTTCAATCTATGGAAGGACTCTATTCAAGAATAGTAAACGTTTATTTCTTGTACAAGAAAATTCTTCTTTTTGGGTGTTTTACTCTTCAATGTATGGAAGGACTCCATTAAAGAACAGTAAACGTTTTTTTCTTGTACAAAAAAATTCTTCTTTTTTGGTGGGGGGACAATTTCACATGTTGTACAGCAATGTACAGCATGTGTTTTACTCTTCAATCTATGAAAGGACTCCATTCAAGAATAGTAAACTTTTTTTCTTGTAGAAGAAAATTCTTTTTTTGGGGGGGGGGGAAAATTAAAGGCAAGTTGCTTTCAGAACTACTGTACTTCCTTCCGTGTTGTTACAGAATGGCCACTTGCAAAGGGTATAAAATGGATTGCAATAAAAGAATTTCATAAGCTCTTTCAATCCATTCTGTGCTTGTTGATATTGTCAATCAAATGGTTACTGTAGTGGTCTTGTCGCTTTCCTCCATACTTGTACTGCAGTCAAGTCGACAAAAGATTGAAAGGAAACGCTTAGTTATTGCACCATTAAAAGAGCTGTTTACATTCTTTTCTTCATGTTGACTAAGGTTATTTATACTTGAACCAGCTGCACTCGGTCTACATCTTAAAGTAGCATTCTGCTATCGCACTCTACCAATGTTCAATTTTACTACTCGCTCTACCATCTGCACAAGTGAAATTCTCGTTGAAAGCGTAGAATAAATCCAATATTGCAGGTGTTAACATGAACGCTTTCATTCCTCAATGTTTTCTTCTACACAGAAAAAATGACTTCACTATTAACTATTTTGGTCGCAATCAAATTGAGTTTAGCTGCTACATGGCGTCAAAAGTATTTACCATTTTACAACAGCCGTTCAATTAAGTTGAATGTTGATTTCCTCTAAAGGAATGGATTAGGTGATGCAACATGTTCTCAAATGATGCATTCTACAGCCGAAACTTGATCAGCTGCAGTCAGTCAATATTTAGAGAAAGATTTTTCATCTACTAAATGCGTCATGGAGGCGGCATCAATCGATACCGCAAGTAGAGAGATGAGATTGAAAACTGCCAAAAGAGTTCAACAGTAAGATGATGAAGTAGAGAATCAACTACGTATTATTGCCTAAAGCATAAACCGCAAGG